CATCCAGCTTGATCAACCAAGGTCTCCAAAGAATCCCATTGTAGGGAGATGGGTCATTTACGATCATGATCGTCTGCTTTGAGACAACTGGTGGTGTTTTCACATCAAGCGTGATATGGCCGATGGCAGTTGAGGTATGCCCGTTGAATCCGGTGAATACCTCTGCTCGGCGCATGATTGTGTTTTCCAAGCCCATTTTCTAAATGACTAAGAGTTGAAGTAGGTTGATTACACTTCCATTGTCGACCATCATTCTATCAACTATGGCATGGGCCAGTTGGACAGATACTACTAGTGCGTCGTCGTGCGAAAAATCGACGTCTTCTGCATCCTGCTCGGTGAAGCCAACGATGGGTCCAGGTTGGATGTCAACTGCTTGGACTTGTGAGACTAATAGAGCTTGCTGGATCTTCCTCTTTTTAGAGTTTGTTGGTGGCCCCCAAGTGCTCGGATTCAGCGAAGATGTCATTGATTCGAATTGTCTTGGTTGGCAAATTCTCATCGTCGTCTATGTTCCTTCTAAGCTGCGTAGCTGGCTTGTCCAAGTATCTGTCAACCTTGCCTTCTTTCACGAGCTTCTCTAGGTAGTTCTTCCAAGTGTAACAGTCGTTGGTTATGTGACAGGGACCTCGGTTGAATGCACAGTATTTGGTGTGATCCAACTTGGAAGTATTTTCCTTTGATTGTTTCGGCAGCTTGAACCATGGCTTGTTCTTGATGTCACGAATGATTTGGTGGATCGAAATTGAGAACTTAGAGTAGTTCTTGGTCGTCAAGCATTCTTTGGTCATGGGTTGGTCTCTATGTTTGGCCTCCTGCCTGCTTTTGCTGGACTGCTTCATGTCCTCCTTCCTTTAAGCCACTGCCGACTCTTTTCAAGGCTACTCAGGTGCCTTGCCTGCTCATCGAGCCTTATCCCAAAGTGCATGCTTCTCTACTAGAGCAAATGAGTATGCTAGAGTTAGATCTTCTTTCAAGATCATTTCTCCGAACAGGGGATGGTTTGATAGGAGTCCTTTTTGGAAGGCTGTACTTGCTATCAAGTCGTCACATCCAACGATCTTCGCCTTCTCTGCTTTGAACCTCTTCACATAGTCGCGGAACGACTCTTTTGGGTTTTTCTTCACGTTGAACAAGTGGTCGGACTTTTTCTTGATCGAGCAGTAGGATGAGTATTCTTTGGTGAAAACCAAGGAAAGATCATCAAAACTCCGAATGGATCGTGGTGGCAAGGTGTGAAACCAATCTTGCGCCTCGCCTTGTAAAGTGGTGGTGCATATTTTGCACATAAGGGCATCATTGTTCCGATAAAAGACCATCGCGCTTCGGTAGTGCTTCAAGTGTCTCTCCGGATCTCCATCCCCTTTGAAAGATGTGAAGTGTGGCATGCTAAACTTGCGTGGAGGCTCTGCCTGCTCGATCTCGTCCGTGAAGGGTGACCTACTCATGTTGGTCATATCCCGTCGTAGTGCTTCGTCAGCCACTTCGTTGCATTGGAAATCATACAATCGTTTGTTGAGGAGCCTCTCTACCTCTTTCTGAATTTGCCTTTGTTGGGGTAACGGAGCCCTCGGCTACCCCCGGTCTTGACCTTCTGGTCTAGGCTGCTCTTCTACAAGCTCGACACGTCTATGCTGCAGCTGCGGTGCATGAGGTAGATTCCTAGCAAGCAAGGGATTTCTTCGCAGGCTACTAGTTAAACTTAAGCCTGATTAAATGACTACTTTTCTTCATCCATCGTGCTGCCTACTCCATTGAAATGTGGAAGTTGCTTCTTGCAGGTCTAGTTGCAAATGAACATTTTGCCTGGAAGGCTGCTCATGTTGATCATCGGAGTGTGGCCCTAACTATGAGTGTATGCTCGTCCGTGGGCCTAGTTTAAAGTGCATGCTCCTCCGCACGCTAAGATAGGAGTATACGCTATCTCGGGGGCCTAATCAGGAATGTACACTGCTCAAACGCTTAATTTGTGGCTAGTAAAGTGGCTGCTTGTCAGGACACTGCTGGAGAGGTTCCTCGTCTACCCTTGTCTTACTTTGGGACACCTCATCTGGGCCACGTTGGATCTCAATGCGCTGCAAGAGTTGATTCACCAAGGTCATATGTTGTACAAGGGTGCTCGTCAACTCTATGACTTGTCGAGACAAGTGTTGTTCGCCATTTGGATTGGAAGAGCTTGGTAGGAATGCGCCTCCTTGAGCAGTGGAAGGGTGGTAGACTCCAGGCGTGAGATTTAAGTTATGAAATGTCAAATTCGCGGAGAAATGTGGTAAGAATATCCCCTGGCTCGATCGTAGGTCAGGAAATTTAAAGCTGGGATGGTTGAGATAATCTTAGGCCGGCTTGGGCTGCTTGGGAAACCACGGAAGCAAGTTGGGCTACTGGAGTGGGCTGCTCAGTGTGTGGCACACGTGGGTGCGAGGCTTAGGCTCAGCTTGGCAATGCGTTAGGCTTACATTGGGTTTGGACAGCGTGGGCCGACTCGGCTAGGGCTTAAGCCATTGAAGGTTGAAGTGGCACGGCTCGGGTCGTGGTTGTAGCGCCATGAACCTTGCCGTGGGTGGCCATCGTGGTTGTTGCCATGGTGGTGCCTCGTGGGGGTGCCGCTCCACTTACTGCTATGTTAAGCCTTGTAGATCGTCGCGGTCTTAATCCTTGAACGTTGGAATTTCCGTTCGTCGAGGTTTCCGAATCTCTTGCCATTGTACTTTTCTTTTACACTTTACCAAAGAATTTTTAGAAATAAAAATTCCTAGAATAAGAACGTACGAAAAATCTACAAATAGACAAAGAAACAAGAAACCTTATATGCGAGAGTCTTCTACGAGCTTGTGACTCAACTCTTAATGAAAGCACCAATTTGTGGATGCAAATTTCTTCCTCCTTGTTCTTGGACAAAATTGCACCTACAAAACAAATAACACCTCAGGTCAAAGCCAAGAGTCTCACGTGCCCACGATGAAGGGAGGGTTTTGGCCGAATAACCTCCAATGCCAAAGTTAGAATTTTAAAGGAAAAGTGTTTAGAGAATTTAGAGAATTTAGCAAGAGAATTGGAATTGAGCTTTGGATAGAATGTGGGGGTTTATATAAGGGTGTGCCGGCCCCCTTAGGAGAGGAGGAACCGGCCACATGGATGAATTTGTGGGTTAGGTTCATGATTTATGTTTAATTAGCTAAATAATTGAATAATTAATCAATTAATTGGCTAATTAATATAATAAAAAAAGAATGATATAGGAGTTACCTTGTGGAGAAGATATGATGAGGGATGGATGAAATAGGTTATAAATAAATACCTATTTGGGCACTTTTGACTTGATTAAGGGATGATTGTCCACCGCTCGCGCGTAGGAATCCCGGTGTGCCTCAAGGGTAATTTTGTCATTTTTACCCAAAAATCCACGTGTCGCCTCTTGATTATTTTTGGCTCCACACTATCTATATGGTTGGATGGTGTTCTAACCTAATGGGAGAGATGTAATTTGAGATCTCATTTAATTTTGGGTAGTGCTATCTATATATCATTTTTTAATTCTCATACACCCCTCTTAATTTCCGACCGCCAGATCAAATGAATTAAAGGAGATCAATGGCTAAAAATTAATAAGGGTGTGCAAATGGGTGTATGAATAGCACTTCCTTAATTTTTTTTTTTTTTTTCCTCTTTAATTATCTGAATCTATCACCAAACGATGTAAAAAAGTATGTATATTTAGATTTTTATTTACGTTTTCCGGCTAAAATGTGTATTTTACATCTCTGCATTAGAGAACTTTCTAGTTAACAAAAAAACATAAAATACACATTTCAAAGCATTTTGCATCTTCCATTAGGGATTCCCTTATTGACACTATGTTTAGATGAATGAAATAAACTTGGAATTTTCGTAAAAGTCAGAATTTATAAATTAACATGCACCAATTTCCTTACTTTCATAAACATAGAAATTTAGAATTTCCGCATGGAAAAAAAATTTGGAATTTGGGACCTCCAATTTCCAAGTTCAAATTCCATGTAAATAGGTGTCATTTCCCAATTTCCATGATTGAGCGTTTAAAAATAACAAATTCCGTATTCAATTTCATTGTTCTTTTAGGTTAACCAAACAAGAAAATTTACAAATTCTAGAATATAAAATCTTGTCATTTCAATTTCCGTCATTTTAAAATTCCTTAGTAAACTTAAATTTCTTCATCCAAACATAGTGTAAAAAAATTGTCTGATTACGTCAGGCAGCAATAACAGTTTTGAAAACAAAATGAGTATTTACAAGTTTATCTGACAGCCGAATGAGCCTACCCAGTTGGGCAAATTTTGACATAAAACTAAAAGACCAATTACCCGTGCATATATAACCCGCTTCCGTATAACTAGAAGCAGAGTTCCCCGCGCATATGAAAGTTGGAGACGAAGACAGAGATTTTGAATTGTCGTCCTCATCGCGCAGTCAGTCAGATCGAGTTTGTATGAGATATCCGATATTACAAGTTTTATCTGTTTCCATAAACTTATCAGAATTTCTTGCCATCTTTAAAAGATTTCGTCCAACTGGTTAGGAACATAATTTGCTTGGGTCAAATGAACTTTGTTGGTTTATTCTTATTCCTAAAAGCTTAAGCAAACATAGGATGTGTGTCAGCTTAGATGATCTGAATTGGGTTTTAGCAGCTCAGCATTTTGGCTTAATAAATTTTCCATTCTGGTTTTCATTATTATTCTTTGGGGTCATGATCCGGTAAAGTTGAGGCGGTATGAACTTGCCATGCATCATTGACATTTTGCCATTTGTAATGTACCAAAAAAGAGGGATTGTGGCTCTTAATTAAATAACAATGAGCATAACAGATGCGCTTTTATTTACAAATTAATCCAAAAAACAATAATTATATATTCATGAGAAATATTGATGACTGATAAGTAACCAGCTACATGAGTTAAATATAGTATCTTAATTAATAAGTAGCTCATGAGACATTTAACTATATATATATTCATAGACTAGTCGTAATTTAACCTACCAAGCTTGCTAGACTGGTATGCAATGACATTGGCAGTAGTAGGGCTCTCCTCCAAAACGACTTCGTATCCATCTCCGAAGGTGTCCATTCCCTGTGCAATCAGCTGCCAGAAAATCCCACCTACAAGAGAACCCCCACTACTCGCACTTGTGTAGATGTACTCGTATAGTTTGCGAAAGTAGGCATTCCTCTTTCCTGGGGTGTAACCTGGTAACCTATAAGACTTGCCAAACTCTCCCAAAACCAGTGGTTTCTTAACTACTGTGTTGCAGTCTTCGATGTGTTGTTGCACCCATTTGTCCACAAAACCGGCTTGGCCCTCTTCGCTTGTCTCTGGTAACCTATTTCATCCAAGAATATTATATGCATGGCTTCTTTTTCTTCAAAAAGAAAAGTATATACAGAACAAATAGAGAGTTTCTAAGTACGTACCATTGCTCAGCATAGATATGTATAGTGGCGAAATCGCTGTCGGGAAGCAAGTTGCTGGCAATGAATTCAGAACCATATTCTAGGTTACCAGGATTGAACTGCTTCTTGTCCGGCGTTGTTTTGCCATAAAATCCTTCAAGCCCTATCTCTAGTAAATGCTTACTATCTATGTACTTAGAGTGTGCAGCCATTTCTTTCACCCATGGCTGTACAGTCAATTAGTTAAGGTGTTCGGATTCCATTAAACCATATGCCAAAAAAAATGAAAAACAAATAATTTAGGGAAAAAAGAAGTGGAGAGATATATACGTAACCTGAAGAATTGATCCAGATACATCAGATTGGCAACGAGGCTCATTCATTAGTTCCCACGCGAAGATGGTTGGATCATTTTTGTAAGCCACCTTTGTTATGGAATTTTTTCTTGTGAGTAGAGTCTGCATCCCAATGTGCACGCATGCCAGTTAAGATTGTAATGTAAGAAGATAAATCAATTTTACCACTAACTAACCATTTCATCCACAATTCTGTCTTCAATAATACACACAAAATTAACCTACTTTCTAATATAAGTAGGTTTTACGAATACCATTATATGTCACTGTGAGACTCTTGTACTAGAAAATGTTAACAATGTTGTTATCTTTTTTGTGTCTAAATAATATTACCTTCATTTATTTAAACAAAAAATATCTTGTGTGGGTACTTCGTTAATCAGGTACAGTGTTGGGAAATAATATACAAAAAATTGAAACACTTGCTTCTGTTGAAGTGTGTCAGCAAGTGTAATAGTTAAGTCGTGTGTACAAGTGCAGATTTTTTTTTTTCCTTCTTGTCATTAGTAATTTCTCTAAACACGAAACATATTGGAAAAAAGAAATGCGAGGGTAAGGTTTATATCCCTTCTTTTTTTTTTCTTTTTTTCCTTCTTGTCATTAGTAATTTTACTGGCCGTCCACCAAGAGATATTGTCGGCAGCAAGAGTCGAACTTAGGCCTTAGTCTAGTGAAAAAAATGATCTTTACCAACTCAACCAATCATTGTTGACATTATCAAACAATTTTAATATGAAACATATATACATTCAAATAACATTTCACTAAATTAGTTGTAGTAGTTTAGATTATACATACATAAAGACATACGTACGGTATGAAGTACTATACTACGTGTCCTCGTTGTATGAACCATTAGAAGGCTGAAGGGGTCTATCGTAACCGCCGTCACTGAAAGCCCAAACCCTAGCAACATTCATGCCATACTTGGAGCCTTGTTGGAGTGCACAAGTGACCTTGGCCCTTGTAGATGGGTCAGATGCCATGTACATCATCCAATATGCATTGAACCCGTTTATGTAAAACGGCTTTCCATTCATAACAAAACGGGTTCCCTGTGTTCCAGCAAGTATAACCACGACGAGTGGCCTTCCCCTCGCAATCTCCTACCCGAGCATGGAAGATTAACACCCAAAACAAAGATATGGAGCAAACCCTTCTCGGACATGATTGAGTTCTTGTGCCTGAACAAATTAGACCCTTTTAAGTGCTTCCTGTTTGACGTTTTATTCAGTAGTTGAGGACCATACTAGTATATATAGTACTGACATATAGATAACAGTGATGAAAAGAACCAAGAAAATTAATGGCGTGTTTATGTAACCGTAATCAAAATCGGAGGAAGTCCCAGAGTGAGAGACAGGAGGGAACACAAGTCATGTGGTGCATCATTTTATATGTTATAATAAGAATGAACGATAAAATATTGAAATGTCTCACTTCTAGAATATATTTATAATTTGAGTGGAAAAGTAACAAAACCTGGCCGTGTTCTGTGTACACCAAAAAATAGCTCAATATATACATGCATGCACTGTTCTAAAAATTCTCGCCTAGCGCCACTTAGACGCTAAGCAGTTGGCCACCGTCCCGATTAATTCCTAAACGTTTGAAAATTAAGAAAGGGCGCGTAGACCTGCCTAGATGTCATCCGTCTAACCCACCTAAATCCGCCTAGGTCGGTCGTGACTCTCACTTAGACAGAAAACAAATAATTTCATTTTGCATTTTATTTTTCAATAAATTATAAGTGACTTGTTGAATACTTGAATAAACACTCATTATATGTTTGTTCCTCATGTTTTCAATATGTTCTAATACTTTATAATCTATATGCCATTCTATTTTGCAATTTATGTATCCCGATCTAATTATTTTATTTTTTTAAGTATAAATAAATATTTATTTATATGATATAATTGAATTTAAAAAAAATAAAATAAATAAATAAATAAAATAAAAAACCTAGACACCTAGATGCTAGACCCCTGCACCCTATCGCCTTTTAAAACCTTGCATGTATTCAATTATCAAGAGCTACAGTTTAGTAGTATTCATCTTCATTTGTAAGTGAGATGTCTTATTTTCGATTCTCAACAAAAACAAATTTGAACCACATTATTGTTAACTCATTGTAATGTTTAGGCCACTCCTCCACCCCTTAGTATAGAATTATCAAGAAATTTGAGATTAAAAAAAAAAAACCCTACTAAAACTAGAAAATAGGTGTATGTATGAGTTTATTACTAATATAACCTTCAACTCCGATGCTATTCTAAGCTACCAGAACATAATTATTTTGAAAGAAGGTGTTAAAATGGGATAAAAAAAATAGAAATTATTCTCTTATAAAACTGACAACTCCGATGTTGGATTAGATGTGTGTGCCGTGTGGGGTTCATATGTTACATAATTACAAATTTGTAAATGGGAACAGAGAAACCAGTATTGTACAACTTCGCATGAGAGAAAATTTACCTACGCATATTATTGTTACGTGTATCGGCTTCATACTACCTACTAAAAAAAATTTCAATGTACTGGAAAGCAGCACAGGACATCAAGTGTTATAACATAATTGTTTGACTTTTTTTTCCTAAATTTCCAATCAATTGCATTGCACTTTATGTACTGGGTTATGTGACCAACACACTTAAAAATGTCTCCTAACTACTTAGCTCATAGGACGGTTTATTGCTTAATTATTGTGTTTAATTAAATTGATTAAGGCATTGCGAATTTGCTATATATTTGAAATTAAGGATCGATACGTGGTAAAGGCATACACCTATGGGTAGCATAAGGGATATGACCATATATGCAAATGCAAGCCCGTGAATTTTCATTGTTACCAATTTTTCAACAGCCAATTAAGAGGTTAGAGTCAACTCTGAGATTTCAGGAATCTTGTACCAAAATAAGAATTAACATTTTTAGTTTGGTATCAAGATACAAGATTGGTGGGATAGTGCTATTTTAACACACTATTTTTATCTCTCACATACTATATTTTTTTACTATTGATCTTCTTCAAATTATTCGATCCACCGGCCGAAAATCACGAGGAGTGTGTGAGAAATAAAAATGGGTGTGAACAGCCTACCCTATTGATGCTACGAAGTAAAATTTTATGAAACTCAACATCAATTATCACAATTTTTTTACGCTTTTTTTGTACTTCTATTTGTAAACTACGATTGATCATGTGTTTGCCTTTCTCTTTTTTGTTTTGCCGAGTTTTTCTTACATGAATACAATGTGTGACTTGCACAACTTACATTCACATTCTTAAAAGTATATAATCTGTTTGCTTCAACAAAGTAAAGAAAATACCACTTCTAGACCACAGATTCATCGGGTTCTTGTTGTATTGCGATTTTAGTAAAACTAAAGGATTTTCAACCTACCTCATATGATATCTTACTTTGAATATATATGGTTGGATGTGTCATCTGTCAAGCAAGTTGTCGATGAACATGTTTCTGTTATCTTTCCTTCTTTGTTTTTAATTAAACAACAAAAAACACAGAAACAAAGTTCATTTTGGTGATGCATTTGGAGAAAGTGTGATATTAGAGTATACGCCCTTATGTTTATATACAAGAGGAATACCCTCTATTAATAAAAGCTTTTCTTAACTGTATTTTAATTATTCTAATCCGACCTACTCTTGCCGACTTGTTTACGTGTTTCGTCTGCTTTATACACTTATTATTGAGGAGGGACGAACCAAACTCAAGACAAAACGCATCTCCGGGCCTCATTTCCCTGAATGTGCATATTAACGTAAGCTTTGTTTATTGGGAAACTAGCATATGCCCACACACAAAGTGTGTGTGAGTATTTTTTATTTTTTAAATAGAAAGAGAGAGGAAAAGAGTGAGTGAACATGAGGGAGAGAGGGGAGAGATTTATATATATAATATCAGAGATATGCTAGACTCACATGTGAGTGAGGCTTTAAAAACAACAGCTAAATTTGGTTTGTATGAAATTACATTGACGCCCATGTTTTTTTATTTCTGTTCAGTTTTGACTAGAGGGTTAGAATGGTAAGCTTAGAGAATTTTGCTTGACAATCAGAATTCTATTAATATGTAATTTGATTACTCTAAATTGGATGAAATTCATACTAAAAACATAATTATTGTTATTAACTAGTAACTTAAGCCCCTTGTTTATTTAGATTATGAAAAACCCATTAATTGAACCAATTAAAAACTTGTTAAAATTTTATGGAAAAAAAAAGTTCTTAGAGCATCTCCAATGGAGAGATGCAAATTTGAGGTGCATAATTACATCACATTTTACACTAATGCAAGGTTCTAAAAGACGTTAGGCGCTAGTTGGACGGCGAGCTGGGGCCTGGCGCCTAGGCGCCTAGGCAAACTAGGTGGATTTAAGTAAATCTATTATATTTCGTATAAATAAGTGTCTATTTATACTTAAAATATATATAATTTTCTTATAAACTATAAAATAGAATACCATATATATTAGGAAGTATTGGAACATAATGAAAACATGGGGAACATGCATATAATGTGCATTCATTTAAGTATTCGACGAGTCTCTTACAATTTATTGAAAAAATAAATAAAATGCAAAATGAAAGTTATCTATTTTCTGTCTAAGTGAGTCGCAACCTAGGCGGGTATGGGCGAGTGCCTAGGCGGTCTAGGCGGGCACCTCAGCAGGTCTAGGTACCCTTTCTTAATTTTCAAACGCCTAGGCATTAATCGGGGAGGTGGCCAACTGCCTAGCGCCTAGGCGGGGATTTTTAGAACAGTGCACTAATAAGAGAGATGTAGATGGGTGTTCTACTTTAATGAGAGAGATGTAAATTTAAGATCTCATTTAATTTTGCTTTATTCACGCATTCATTTTTAATTCTCACACACCCCTCTCAATTTATGGTCGTTAGATCAAATGAATTGAAGATGATCAATGACCAAAAATTAAAAAGATATGCGAGAAAGGGAAAATGGGTGTATGAATAGACTTCCTTAATTTCCTTTCTTTGATTGGCGGGCCCACCACCGAAAGATGTAAAAAAATATGTAAATTTAGATTTTTATCTACGTTTTCTAGCTAATATGGGTGTTTTACATCTTTCCATAGGAGAATTTTCTGATTAGCAAAAAAAGGTAAAATACACATTTCAAAGCATTTTGCATTTTTTTTAATTAAAATGAGGACTAGCCGATGGCTTCGCCACATCAATCCACCTTTCGGGGGCCGGGAAGACTCACAAAGGCATTTAACCTTCCCCTGTCCATTATCGTACAATTCACCAGTGGCAGAAATTGAACCCAAGACGTTAGGTACCAATAATAATAACAGTTTTGAAAACAAAATGAGTACTAGCAAGTTTTATCTGACAGCCCAATGGGCCTACATAGTTTGGCCAATTTTGACATGGAACTAAAAGGCCCAATAACCCGTGCATATATAACCTGCTTTCCGTAGAACTGGAAGCAGAGTTCCCGCGCATCTTAAAGTTGGAGACGGAGACAGACATTTTGAATCGTCGTCCTCATCGCGCAGTCAGTCATATCGAGATTGAATCATTGAAGGTACGAATTTATGTCAAATTATGCTTATAATTAAGTTAATTAACGATAATTAGAATCGATGCTGAATTTTGCACTGTTATTGTTATCGTAATTAAGGTGCTGTTTGGCTGATTACTTAATTAGCTTAATCAACAATCGATTCAATGGAGAACGCAGAAAGTGAATCTACAAGGAAACGCATGAAACCAGATGTATGTATTTTTTTATGTTCAATCCGTGTGTTTTGTGCTTCTTATTCCGTTTTGTGAATTAGTGTGTGAAAATCTGATTAGTTTTGAGGTTTAAGGAAGGAGAAGGAGTGATGATAGAATCAGAGATGGATCAGAAGGAAGAATTTGAGGGAATAGTTGCTGGATCTGAGGAGGTGGAGCTCGCAATCGCTCACATCCTCGAGAAGATTGAACGCTTCACTCAGCTGGTATTTAGCTGTTAAATTTCAGAGTAAATGAATCATTATTTCCTTGAATAATTGTAGGTATTTGCAATTTTTTGGATGTTTTTTATGCAATAAATTGGAATTATGCATAGGTATCTGAGAGTCTGGAATCAGGGAAGACGATGTTTCAGAAGATTAGCGATGAGTTTGAAGAGCGAATGATTATGTGAGTTGCAAAAATTAACTTTATATTTTCTGTTGAATTTGTAATATTTGGGGTTTTGGATGATTGACATTTGTGGGGTACAACTACACCTAAAGGGTGCACAAGGAACAAATTGAGAAATGGCAGGAAGAGATCCGAGAGTTGCGTATGCTTGATGCTTCAAACGAGGACGCCAATGTTGTTCTGCATAATGCCCGACATGTATTTCAAAATGCTAACCTTGATTCCTGAAGGTAATTATACAATCTATTCGTTTGTATGAGACGTCTGATATTATAAGTTTTATCTGTTTCATAAACTTCTCAGAATTTCTTGCCGTATTTAAAAGATTTCATCCAACTAATTGTTATATGTGGCTCAATACGCTTAGGAACATAATTTCCTTGGGTCTGATGAACTTTGTTGGTTTATTCTTATTCCTAAATGCTTAAGCAGTTACCTAGGATGTGTGTCAGCTTAGATGATCTGATCTGGGTATGAGCAGCTCAGCACTTTGGCTTGATGAATTTTCTGTTGTTTATTCTTTGGGTCATGATCCGGTAAAGTTGAGGTGGTATGAACTTGCCTTATCTTTCCAGGGTAACATGCTTTAAGAAATTTCAAATATCCTCGTACAGCCAAACCATGTAAAAGTTGAAAATCTCAAGCGCTGGAAGCAGTTAGAAGTCTAGTGTTTTTGGTTTAGAAGTGTAATTTGTCCAATTCAAGAACTTGGGCTTGAACTCTTCTGGTTTGTGTTCTTTGGCCTTGAAATTCAACTAGTGGGACTCATAAAGTAGTTTGGATAAGCAGCTAAACTGGTAGGGCTTAAGCTGTAAGTAGCATATATATTACTGGCCAATATCCAGCTGACTGTTTCAGCACTGCATAAACCTTAAAATGTCGAGAAACTAACGAGGGCGCTGGTATGCAGGTTTCCCAAGACCGTAGCAGATGACCACGGATATTCATTCTGCTAGTTGGATGGAGGGGACTGTCTCCGTTGATGTAGGTAAAGTTACAAGCTAAAGCCACAATTTTAAGCTTCTGCAGTTTGAGTTGTTTGCTGCCTGAATCTGTTAGTAGCTGTTGGCATTACATGAGATTTACAGTTGGCATATATTTGTAGTTTGGACATTTCTATTGGTTTAAAAATCGATCTGTTCCCTTGAATTTCTCATAAGATTGCGTATTCATGATCAATTTTAACATCGTGAATGATTCATTTACCACATTTTCTTACATTTAAAGCAGAAATTGACTTGCTTCAACCATGAATTAATTAGTTTTCAAAGAACATCGTCGTTTGATCAAAGAAGAAAAAAGAATTGTACGTTATAAATTACATCATATTTACAAAATCGTTGGATCAAGAACTATATAGTAAATACGTACAGAAAGGTGAATGTTAGTAATGTCTTGAAGATCATTATATCATCGTGTTTCTAAAGGCTTATTCTAATTTATGATCACCTCCTTTTCTTTCTTTCGGCCGTTTTTAAGACTAGCTCTGCACCTGTTCTCACCCTCACAACCTCTGTTATAAGAGTTCGATGGTGGAGGCATGCAACGAAATGCCTGGTCGTGATCCATGACTGAATATTTAAGAATTTTGGCATTCGTCAAACCAAGCATGCTAAAACCTACTTCAATCCTTAGAGTGAAACTCAAATTTTAGGTTTTAAACCCACCCCGACCCTTACTCCTTAGGGCAAATTAGTAGTGCTCACCTACAGGTCCTCTTTTATCTACTCCCTTTAGATTAATCTGACGGTAAATTAATGAATAACCTAACGCTATCCCTGTTACACTCTAACAAACATTGGGGACGTGAGTCAGCCAGCCGCATCCGGCTTCCTCTCTCAATTCTATCACCAGCATTCGCATACCGAATCCCAGTCAAAAGCAACACCACTGCCGCCACCAAATCTTCGTCCTCGGACAGTACGTACCAAAAAACCCACCTCTCAAACCCATTACCCTCCATCGATTTCTTTGCAATGCCGCAATCAACTATCTCGTCTGCCCTTGAAGACCCATCTCGGTTTGTTCCTTCGCAATCGCTCTCATAAGGCACATGGGCTGCTCCGTGAGGTTGGGCCTGAGCACGTCGACGGTGTTCAAATCGGCGGAGGTGGTTTGTGTCCTCTTCTTGGGCATGGTGGCGGTGGCGGCAGTTGCAAAGAGTTGGGAATTCAACGAAGGGAGGCTTCGTTGGCTTGTTGTTCGAATTTGGCTTCTTGTTACTCGGCGGCGAGGGCCCAAACGCTGGGCTTGGCTGAAAGAGACACTTGCTGCCCTTGGGGAACATGAGATAGAGGGGATGAAGGGGATAGAGACATTCACGCCTGAAAATATCAGCTGTTGGATTATTTAAGTCAGATTAATCTAAGGGTGCGTTTGTTGCGCCAGACTGTCTCGGACTGGACTAGCTGCTGGGACTAAGCTGGACTGGCTTAGACTGGACTAAGTTGGACTAACTTAGTGAAGCGTTTGGTGTAATGTCGGACTAAGAAGTAGGATAAGAAAAATAGTACTGTTCACCAGATTTGTGTTTGCTTAGACTAGGACTACAATTTTTTGCCATTGTGTAATAGAGTAATGCTACAAATCTCATGATATGGGTTAATCGGAACATATTTTTGCCATGTATTATGAATCTTAAAAAAAATTGACAATTGTTTTGTTTCTATTACCTGCTAATAGAATTGGGTTTAATTTGCAAATGTAGCTTGGTTTAAACACTATCACCCAACAGAAGAAAAATAATACTGCCCAATACATGCAACTTCAACAAATACAAGTACATAAGAAGATCTCCATAATTTAGAAAATCCTAGTTAACATTAGTTAACATTAGCCAAAATAGATCTCCATAATTTACAAAATGGCTAGTTAACATAAGTCAAAATACTAGTGCAAAGCTAAGTTATAAGCCATAATATAAGATTGTATGATTAATAAAATACATCCATGTTAACATTAATAAAATACATCCATGTTAACATTAGCCAAAATCCTCATCCGCTTGCGTTGTCGCTTAAAAGCCTTTGGACGAACACTTTCTTGAGTTCCGGTTTGATTGCCCTGAACACTGCCACATTTTTTGGTTTATCCAAAATAAGAGACAATGCATCAATTTGATCCATAGGAGAGAGACCCATTGCTTCAAGTTCATTAGCTATGTCAGTATGATCTGCAGTACCTTGAATTAAAGCTTCAGTTACCATTTGCATCCTCTTCCCACTTTCAACATAAAAATCTTTCAGTCCACTGATAATTGCCTCAGTTCCATCACTTGAACTTCCCACAGCTCTTTTCCTCTTTCTTTGGCTATTTTTCAGATGGGGTGCTTTGTTGGCTTTGTTGGTTCATTGAAGAAACAAAATTTTTTCACCTCCAATATCACTTTCACCAACATGATCATGACTTTTGTTCCTCCACCATTTGAGCAGGGGTTTCGGCTACATTACCCGTAGCCCGATCTTTTCCAAATATATATGCAAATCTATCAAACAGTGGAAAATGTTTGCTTCTCCATCCATCGACTTCTTTTATTTCTAAGATTAAGATTATATCAACATAGCAAAACTAAAATTTAGCATGCGTAACAAATATAAGCAAATATAGCAGCAATAATATAACTAATGTATAAATAAAATAGGATATGAACCTGCACATAAGTTTTCCATGAGTCATCACTGTCAACTTCAACGCACTTTTTTTGACATCATTCCATGCAAATCCACTTGTGTTTATCATGTCAACGACCATACTATATGTTTTTTTTTTCCATTTCTTCAACTTGGACTCAATATGTGGATTTGCCTTTATATTTGAATGAGGACATAAAATATTGACAGCTTTTGCTATTTCAACCAAAGTACCTTGTTTGAAAGCACCGGTGTCACACCGTTGCTTCCGAGCAACAAAATCCTCAAGAACTCCTAGTAATACTTCTTCCTCAAATGCTTCCCATTTACGCCTTCTTCCTTTTGGCTCTTGAGTAGCATTCAAAATATTTTCGTTATCCATACCTAAACAAAAAATATTTTAATGAAGGAAAATACCATACAAATAATCAATTTGCATAATATCCAATCAACTTGCATAATATCCAATTAATTTGCATACCATCCAATCATTGTGCTAATATCTAACAAATGAACTTGCATACCATCCAATCATTGTGCTAATATCTAACAAATGCATGATAAAAAGGAATACTAAAATAAAATGTTATCATTAACACATATAGCTAGTTCGGTTGCTGGTTCCTAATTGCTCTCCACTCGTTATACATTTCTTGAGCCATATCATTCCTCTTTGCAGTCCATTGGTCAGATGTTTGAACACTACCAACATATTCACCTTTTTCTGTATTTTGTCCATCTTCTATTATTGGCAAATTCTCCATTGGATCTACAGACATCTCTTGCCTAATAAGATTGTGTAGTAGGCAACAAGCGGTAATTATTCGACCTTGTGTCCTTATCGGATAGAAAGATGGACTCCTTAGTATCGACCACCTTCCTTTTAGCAAGCCAAAACAACGTTCAATTACATTCCTTGCCTTAGAATGATTCATGTTAAAATATTCTTCCTTATTAGAAGGTGTTCGTCCCTCCCATTCAGATAAATGATAAGGTATTCCTCTATAGGGTGCAAGGAATCTTTCACCATTTGTATAACCACCATCTACAAGGTAATAATAACCTAATGAAAAAAAAAAAAACAGACCTTATTAGTGTTTTGTAGTTGACAAACAGAACTAGACCTAACTTACAAAGTTGAGACTAAGTAATAGTTTTACCCGCTGGTACCTTAAAACCATTAGGCCTACTAATTGCATCATGTAGCACTCTAGAGTCTGATGCGGAACCCTCCCACCCCGGAAACACATATATGAACTGCATATCTCCTGAACACACACCTAACACATTAGTTGCGACTCGACCCTTTCTTGTTCGGTATCTTGGTTTGTCAATTTCAGGTACATGCACATCAATGTGTGTTCCATCCAATGCTCCCAAGCAATTCTTAAAAATAAAAAAATAAAAAGTTTTTGTTAATTTATACAAAGGGAATGAAGAGTTAAAGCTTAGGGAAAATGAAAAAAAAATTCTCATCATACCTTAAAACATCGCCACCTAGGATCTGTAGAATCAATAGGCACAGGCTGAGGGACTTTTAGTAGGATACCTTGTAATCGCAAAATTCCTTGCAATACGCTATTGAAATACCTACTTATAGTCTCTCCCGACCTATAAAATCTACCGCCAACACTACGATTCTTAGTATGATGTGCTAATATTTGTAAAGTCATACACACCTGCTCCTCTACAGACACCAAACCATCAGTTTTTACCCTCCCATCTTGACGAAGTAAGTCACATAATATGCCAAAAGTCCTTCTATCCATTCTCAATTCGTTGACACATTCAGTATCAGTATTCCCTATTATACCATTCAGATAACACAAACTAATCTCTCGTCTAATAAGTGAACGGTTAGTCAATGTGGGTCGTTCAACATGTCTCTGTTTGCCACGTAGCATCATCAACACAAGAATCGTACAAATACAAATTGTCTCCAAATAAGACATCTCTAACAATAAGATCAATAAAAGCTTCCTTCGATCCATATCTATCCAAACAAAAACAAAAACAAAAAACAAATTAAGGACATTATATATGTAATATTTACTGTTATTAAGGGTGATGGAAATGAAGTGATTATAATACGAAATGAACTAGATCAAAGTAACTAGCGAAGTCACAATCCGAGGCATCAAATATACGGGTGGTGTTGGAAAAAAAAAGTTATCATTAACCCGAGGCAACAAATATACAGGTGGCGTTGAAAAAAAAAAAGTTATCATTAACCCGAGGCAACAAATATTGAGGTGGCGTTGAAAAAAAAAAGTTATCATTAACCCGATGCATCATATTCAAAATGTTCTACTCTTATACATCTATAAACATGTGTCTAAGAACACTAGTATGAGGATTGCTATCATTGCTAGGCATTGCATGTGAAGAGGGAAATTAAAGGACACCTGTAATGCAGTAGCCTTAGCCTTAGCCTTCCGTTTATGCTCCTCTTTTCTGCAACCAACAACCACAAAAAATTGCAATTCAGCATCAACCCCACACAATACAAAACATTCACATTGTAATATCATGGTTATAAACCAAGTACACACACACACTCATGGACAAATGTGCAA